AATGACTGAGAGGGAAAACGCAGTACTAATTTTCCAGTCATTGCCTCTGTTAGGCTACTGAATCATTAATATTGATTTCAATGGGAGCGGGGGGGGGGCAGCCTGTCGTAATTTCAAGGGACAACCCCGGGAGCCTGTGTTGCCTGGCAGGCAAGGCTTGGAAAGATCCCAGCCAAGACTCATCATCACCTCTCCCTGGGGTCTTCCCGCTCAGAGATCATGTGAGGCAGCGTTGCAGGGTGGTTTTTAGGAGAGCCATGGCAATAGGATTCCTACAATAACTTTAACCTTTAACTTGGATTCCTACAATAAGCAGGGGACTGGTCTTGATGGCCTTATAGGGCCCTTCCAACTCCATTACTCTTTGATTTTAAAAAAAGAGCCTTAAAACATTATATTGATGCTACAAAGCGCTATGGAAGAGCAAATCCATCAAGGTTTATTTTTGAACACGTTGTGTCTTCTCCACCCCATAACAACTTGTGCCTGATAGCTTCTGGAGAATTTGGGAACTCAGGCAACCTTTGTGCATGACCATTTAACTGTCCTAAATACATGAGACTTACCCAACATGAGTTCCCTTTTTTTTTCTCTCTTGTCTTCCTGCATCCTCGAAGCCGGGCGAGGGGGAGGGAGCATCACCCTGTTCAGGCAAAAAGAAAAGGGGCGCCTCCGTGGGTGATGCGAGTGGATCCCCTACTGTCAGCGCAGGGATGTGTGTGTGTGTGGAAGAAAGCCTCACAAGGCTGGCCTGCCTGAGGGTCAACCTCTTTGGAACCTCACCAGGGGCCCAACCTCCTATCCTGTACCCAAGTGTGACCTTTCTGGTTGCTCTTTGGAGCCAGAGAGGAATCTTGGACCTGAGCCTCCCCGGCTGACCTCATCGTGAAAGAAGAGCCTTCAGGGGGGCGGCGGGGATATTTTTGCCTAGCCCGCCTTGCTGGCTACAGGGCACCATGGCCAGATCTGGTGGGTGGGGGTACTTCGTCAAGAGGTCATCACTTGGCGGGGGGTGCCGAGGAAAAGGTTGGCAGCCGCAAACCCCACGGGATGCCTTTATGATGACGGGGGTCCCCTCGGTGGGCAGTGTGAATGATGGGATTCTGTCCCACTGGGATAACCTTGGTTCATCTCTCTCTCTCTCTCTCTCTCTCTCTCTCTCTCTCCCACACACACACACACACACACACACACACACACACACACACCCACACA